ACTATTGGGGACGTGGCCCGACGTCAGCCACATGTACGCGCCCCCCCCCCCCCCTCTGCGCCCCCCCCCGCCCCCCCCGCCCCCCCCCTGCTCCGGCCCATCCCGCGGCCCCGGAAGTACCCCGGCCGGCCGGGCCGGACCCCGGTCCACCAGAGGCCGTTCCCCTGCCCCGCGGCCGGCTGCGACCGGCGCTTCTCGCGCTCGGACGAGCTGAGCCGGCACCTGCGCGTGCACACGGGCCACAAGCCCTTCCAGTGCCGCGTGTGCGCGCGCAGCTTCAGCCGCAGCGACCACCTGGCCACGCACCTGCGCACGCACACCGGGGAGAAGCCCTTCGGCTGCCAGCAGTGCGCCCGCAGGTTCGCCCGCAGCGACGAGCGGAGGAGGCACCTGAAGGTGCACCTGAAGGAGAGGAGGACCCCCCAGCCCTGAGGGCCTCCTCCTGGGACTCCTGGGACTCCTCCTCCTCCTGGGACTCCTCTGGGTCCCTGCCTCCCTTCCTCCTCCCCGTTTCCTGTCTTCCTCCTTTCTTCTCTCCTCCTCCTCCCCTGTCTTATTATCCTCCTCTCCCCTCCTCTTCCTCCTGGTCCTCCTCCTCCCTGCTTCTCTTCCTCCCCATTTCCTGTCTTCCCCCTTTCTTCTCTCCTCCTCCTCCTGATTAGCCTATTTATTTCATTAGAAGCGCCAACTGAAATTCCGAGACTTCTCATCAAAACTTCACCCCGAACTCCTGCCCACCATTCGAAAACTATAAGAGATATCTGAAAAATTCTCAAACCGTGAGTGCAACGAAGAACGTAGGGCCTAGCCAGTGTATTTACTTTTTGGCTGCCTTCACCAGTTTATTTTTATGACAGTTTCCATATTAGGTCCATTTTGGCAGTTGATGATATTTTCTCACTTTTCCTCCATTGTATCTCAATGGGAGCCCGTTGAGAAAGTCTGGACTCTGGGTCCGATTGCGGGAAAACCGTAGGGCTGAGGTCAAAGGCACTTACATTATCTCAAAGAGGACACCCGCGGCTACGTTTTGAGGCCTCTTTGGTCCCACTCGGCCCCACGGTTTGGTCATGAGAGGTGGGAGTCTGATTTTTTTTTGTAAATATCCCCACATGAAAGTTACAACCTGTGATGATGGGTGTCCTCCTGGTACTGGTCCTACTCCTGGGACTCCTCTGGGTCCCTGCCTCCTCCCCCTTTCTTCTCTCCTCCTCCTCCCCCGTCCTCTCATCCTCCCTTCTCTTCCTCCACCTCCTCGTCCAGCTCCTGTCCTCCCCCTATCCTATCTCCTCCTCCTGGTCTTC